CCCCAATTTGTTCTCAGGAGCCGGGGGTCCAGCCCCTGTGTACCAAGCAAAAAAAAAAAAAGGGGTTTTTTTTTTTTTTTTTTTTTTTTTTTTTATCATGCTAGTGTTGCACAAGCCTAAGCAGAAATGTAGGCATAAGAGCCATGTTACTTTTCTTTCTTTCTGATAATTTACCCTGTTGTGCTCCCATACATAGGCATGTTGTTGTCTGGTTTATGGGTAGCACTTGGTGGTAGCATTATTAATTTGAGTGTGTGCAGGTGAATGGGGAGGACCTGGATTTGTGGGGTGAGAAATTTTCTGTTGACTATTTGACGTCATTGCATGATGATGTGACCAACAAACAACCAACTACGTAAGTGTTTGTCAAACCTGTGAAATGGAACACTAAAGTTCACAGTAAGGTTTGATGCATCTTAAATGTTATTCACCACAATATAATTGAATTTAAATTATTATTTTTTTGTTTATTGCAAAGTGCCTTGAGATAATGTATTGTGAATTGGTGCTACATAAATAAACTGAATTGAATTGAATGTTGGATCTTCTACTTAGGATTGTGTTACTATCTTTGCAGGACTTCTTTTACATTGGCAGCACCACGTCAGAGGACAAAAGTTTCAACGGGAGCAGCAGTCAGAAGATGTGTTTCCCTTGCAGATGTACACAAAACATGGTCAGTATTCTGCTAATGTTGGAAAAAAAACAACAACAATTTTGTGTTTGTATTGTTTCCACTAAATAAACACAATAAAGAAATTACACGTTAATATCTGTTAACGCGACAAGTCATTAAAAAAATATATATTCCGCCATCATCCTCCAACTGCTTCCTGTCGTTTTCTTCTTCGCGGTTTACGCCAGTGACAAAATCAGGTTGTTGATCATGTGACTAATGAAAAAAGTGTAGTTTCGGTCATTTGGACAAGAAACTCTCCACATCTTCACTGCGTTATGAATCAGCGGTCAATTCTCAGAATGTGTGTGAGTAAAAAGAGGCCAATAAAGTGAGATCAGCTCCGAAGACGGTAGAGATGGGAACAGATCACAGAGAGTCAGGAACCGAGGTGTTAAAGTCATTGGCGCTTTTCAATCAGGCCTGAAAACATTTCTGTTTACTGCAGCAAACCCATTATGACGTGTTTATCACTGAATTTCTCTAATGCTTTATTTTTGTTTTCATTGTTTTTAGCTGTTTAAATTTTGTTTCATGTTCTTTCTTTCCTTTTCATCAATTTTATCGTCAAAAACATTGCAGTTTTTCAAATACTGAAACATTTGAATCAGCTGACATAACCCAAAAACAATTTCCCAGCTGACTTTTTTTTATACTAAAAAGTTGTTCAAACATTATCGAACCATCTTGTTTTCATAATGGTGTATTGAAAAAAAACAACAACAACAATAAAAAACAGCTGTCCTTCCATGTGTAAAAGCTTTAAGTTGTATTTCTTTTCACGCAACGTCACAGAAATGGTCACATCAGCTGACAACAAAAGCCCCGCGGGTTGCCGCGCGAGCGCGTATGAAAGCACTGACCGGAACCGCTGCCGCACCTGCAGCCACAGCCGCCCGTCACTAGTCATACTCCGCGCGTTTGTCCCCTCTGTCAGCGCTCATGATCTGCTTATGAAATATGCATCAGCTCTCTCCCAGCCACGGCCGCTGCTGCTCCAGCTTCACCTCCACTCCGTGTTTTCGCGCCCACTGTCGCGCCTGCTGTCAATGAACATCCAGCGCGTCCTCTCTGGCTTCTACGTTTCCACGGCTCCTCCCCCTTTCTCTCTGAATTTTTTTTTTCATTCGCCCCCCACTCTCCTCCCTCCTCTCTCTCACTCTCTCTTTTTCTGTATCTCTCAAAGCTTCCTCCTCTTCCCCCACTCTCTCTGTCATTGCATCCATTTTTGTGCATTTAAGAAATCTCCAAGAATTACCAACCTGGAGGAAAGCGAGCTAAACAGAGTGGCAGAGGGGGGTTCGGGGCTCCAAAGGGAAAGCAAACAAGGACGCGCCGGGTATCTGTTATTCCAACATGCGAGCGAAAGCCCTCTGAAGGATGGCAGCGATGGGTTAGACAGGATTTACCATGTCTGCTTAGTAAAAGGCAAGAGTTATTCTTTTTACACTGTATTTTCTGCTTCCTCCTCTTCCTCCCTCCCCTGGATTGAGGGTTATAACCTACAACCTGGGATTCTTTCCAAAGAAATCTAGTTTATTTTCTTCTTCTTTTCGAAATGTTGATGAGTAGTAGTAGATACGTTTGGCGTCCCAATCCTCAGCAGCTTGACTCTTATTAAATCGCACTGTGACAGCTTTAACAGCTTTAAGGATGAACATTTTGACGCTTATTTTCTGCACCACAGTGAGCCAAAGAAAAAAGAAAAGAAAAATGTGCATGACTACCCTGCTAATTCAGACGTCATGCCGTGTGTGCCTTCTCCTAACCACCAGTTTAGAACATTGACCAGACGAATAAACATTTATTTACTATTATTTTTTATTATTATTTGATATTCTTTCAGCGACCGCTTGGTAAAAGATGTCCGCTCCACACGGGCCCCGGGGCGGCCCTGGCCCTGCTGCCGCCGCCGCTGCTCCCTCAGCGGCCGGCGCCATGCCGGAGATGCCGGACCTCAGCCACCTCACCGAGGAGGAGAGAAAGATCATCCTTGGTGTCATGGATCGACAGAAGAAGGAGGAGGCCAAGGAACAGTCCATGTTAAAGTAAGAAAAAAGGCGGAAATGAAGAGAGAATGCGGCTGCTTTTTTGGGAGGGGGCGGGGAGGAGGGGGCTTGTTTTTAGCTACCGTGATCATTTCTGTCCCTCAGTGTGGAAACTGGAGGGTCATGTTGCCCCCCTCTCTTCCCCCTGACATCCAGCCCCTTCATTCTGGACCTCTAGCAGCTGACTGTCAACTTTACCTCCATAACTCTCTTATCGAAATGTCTCATTTTTACGGCAGGGTGTCGCTCCACAATGCGGCACTCGTTTGTAGTTTCGCCCGCACTTTTGTTGTAACTGTATTTAAGCCTGTATGTACTACAGTGGGCTGAGTGAGCAGCGACGGCCGCCATTTTCACGTAAAAAGCACGCCAAACCGCCTAACCTTTCCCCACCAACGTCACCGAGATTACACAATGTGACACTGGAAAGATCATTCCAGGTGTCCTTTGTGGTGTTGTGCCCAGTTTCCAACGTTAAAGTGTGGGCAGAGAGCCTGCTGTACTCCCCTAACCCGCTTCACCCCACCCTGCTCCGCTCTGCCTCTGTACAGATGTCGCTCGGAGCTATTTCAGCACCGCGGTGCTGTCCGCTCTGAGCCTCTACTTTTTAAGGTGGAGCGGAGCGTGTTTTTTTTTTTTCTTCCGCCATCATTACTTCATAACCTTATCTGTGCAGGCGAATACACTGGATTCCTGACTGAATATTCCACCCCCCATCGTCTCGACCTGGTTGTGAAAAGATTTGTGTTGTATTTTTCTTTTTTGTCGCTGAACTTTAGGTTCCCAATGCGAACTAGATTAGCAAAGAGGAGATTTAGAGGTGGTGACCTTAAATGTGCCCGTCCTGTTGATTTTTCTTTAAATTTGTACTTCTATGTCGACAGAGTGCACGTGCTTGTGTACTCACATCCTTGAAGCGAATATGTGTGTTATTATTTTTCAATGCATCGTTGGTAACTTCATAGTTACTTCATATTGGAGAAATATAAGCCAGATTAGCATAGTTAGCACCACAAAAGCAGCAGAATTTAACTAAATTTTGAGGCTAACTATTCGAAAACATTGTTCAAATGCACTTATTAGGCTAATGAGCAGTCCAGCATCTTTATTTTCCATTTTTTGTTTACTCCGCAGCTCAAATTCAGTCATGTTTCAATCAAAACTTTCTCATATTGGCTTCCATTGAATAAAGTTACTTACATAGTAAAAGATGAACAGAAAACACAACGAAACAGAAATATCTCTGAATCAAAAGCTGAAAAACACAAACACTTTAAAAGAAAGTAAAGAAAATGTGAACATACTAAAAGTTATACATTAAAAGCCTTTTTGAAAAACGAATTAAAAAACATCTCTGTGAAGACTTTAGTGGTTTGTTAGAGAACATTAGTGAACAAGCCAGCATTATTAAAACTAAGGAACACAACAGACAGCTCAGCGATATGATGAGGTTGTGATTTAAATTTAAAGTCAACGTCTTATGAGTTCAATCCATTGTTTTAAAATAGAAAAGAAACAACCAAGACATTGGCCCTCTAGCTTAATTGTGAAGCTGTGGGGGCAAGAAAAGATCTACTACAGAATCTGTGGACAGGATATCTTTTTGCTTCTGCACTCCACAAATCTGGCCTGGTTGGAAGAGTGGCAAGAGGAAAGAAAGACATGACAAGTCCCAATGCAGAAACAAACATCTAGAGGAAGGTCAAAGGTCATATAAGACAAAAACCAAACTTTTGGGCCAACAGGCCAAAACATGTGCATAGATGAAAACTAATACTGCACATTGCTCTAACCGTGGACCAGTGGTGACAGCATCATGCTGTGGGGATGTTTGTTTAACTGGGTCAGAGTTGGTGGGAAAGTGATGCAGGTAAACTCAGGACAAGTCTGGAAGAAAACCTTCAAGACGCAACAAAAGACCTGAGACCAGGGGCAGAAGTTCATGCTCAGTTTGATTCTCAGACACTGTATTGATCCCAAAGGGAATTTAAATGATGTTGTAACACAAATCCTTTGAGATTCTTCAAAGAGTTATTGTAGATGGTGATAGCTGTGGGCAAGAAGGATCTCCCGTATTGCAGTCTGTATTGCAGCAAATCTGAAGAAGCCTCTGACTGAAGACACTGTGTTGTTGTATGTGAAATCCTTTGACCATCATCTCCAGAGGTTCCACAGTCGTCCCCGGAACCGAGCCAGAACCAGCCTTCTTGATCGGACTGTTGGGCCTTTTTAAGCCCGTGGCTCTGATGGAATATGACTAAACTTATTTTAGTTTGCTCTGAAAAACTGGTGAAAAATGTCTGTTTCTACATGAGGACATAAACATCTGCAAAGTGTTGTCTCAGATTGGCTCCATTCAAACACACAGCACAGTTTTTTGATTTATGTTTCAGATTTTACTAACTGCCCTTTTTTTTCTTTCCACTTGTGAATTATGCATTAGTCCATGTTAGTGTACCGCATAAAATTGCAACAATATACATTTATTTGTGGTTGACATCGTGACAAAATGCGGAAAGTCTCAAGTGGTGTGAGTATGTTTTTATGTCATTGTCTATATATATATATATATATATATATATATATATAATTGTAGTTTTTAGACGGTGTACTGTGTCCGTTAAGAATATTGTGGCTTGTTCTTGTTGTGGGATTACAAAGCTGCTGGTTTTGGACAATTTCTACTGAATTAATTCTTATAGATAACATTTATAGCCTTCAATCAGTTTATTTGTGTATCACATTTCAGCAACAAGCCAGTCCAAAGTGCATCGTAAAAACATTGTAGCCATCAACTTTGAAACCAGCATCAAACATTACATTTTGTCAAACACTTATCATCAAAATCATCAAATCATCAGCCATATTGATCAATTTTCAATTTGTTATGAGTAAAAAGCAACTCCTAAACAGATCAGGTTTTTAGCCTGGATTTAAAGGAACTCTGTGTTACAGCTGTTTTGCAGTTTTCTGGAAGTTTGTTCCAGATTTGCAGTGAGTAGAAGCTGAATGCTGCTTCTCCATGTTTGGTTCTGGTTCTGGACATGACTCCTATATTCTTTCATAAAGTTCAATGCAATGATTCACAAGAGAAGCACAAAAGCTATTCATAAAAGAATACAGATGAAGATATATATATATATATATATATATTAGCTCTAGGCTGTTTAATTCCATATTTGTTCTCCTACCACTAGAAGAATTATCTTTTTTTTGTTCTTTTTTTTTCTTAAAATGATGTAATTAAGATGAGATTCTGTGGAAGAATAAACTCCACAAACTAGTGACTGAAAACTTGGAGAAGCAAGAACACCGGCACCCTAAAATGCCACACACACTACAACGACGCTAATCCAGCTTCTCATTTCTAGCAATGGATGTCGAGCTTCTAGACTGAGGCGGTTACCACCAAATCTGTGCCACTCAGTGAAGTGTGAGAGATTCCTGCCACTATCTAGCGAAGATTGTTTGTGATGCCGTCCTTCCAAAGCTGCGCTCCTGAAGGAGGGAAAGTTGTGCAATCCCCTGCCTCGTGCAGCTGCACGATAACCATGACTCATGTACTCTAAGACGCAGCTATAGCCTCAGCCGCTGCAGTATACGTGCCGTGTGATTCACCCAGGCCTTTTCCGCCCGCTTTCTCTTTCCGTTTCTCCCTCCTCATGGGAAAGAGAGAGAGAGAGAAAAAAAGAACAGCTGCACGTTTTCTACCCTATTTCTGTTTCTCTTAGGGTTAGAAGAGAAACAGTGTTATCACCCTAAAATGTTTTTAGGGTGATATTCCATATCATACCGAATGCAAAAGGAATCGTTTGGAATTTACTCAATTTGTTTTTAGAGTTCTCAACACACACACACACACACACACACACACACACACACACACACACACACAGAAGCACAAACGGAGAACAACTCAGAACTCAGACGCCAATAAAAAGGATATAGACTATGTGGTGTGACATTTTCTGTTTTATCCAAAAGTTTCATCTGGAGGTGATGATTGTACCCTGGGAAATCTGGGTAGTAGAACACAATCTGTTTTTGTGTTAGGCGCTTCTTTCAACTGTTTACCGGAAGTAAAAAAAAATAGGTGTACAAGTTCATATCCTGTTGCGAAATGGGATAAATCAGTTATTTATTTATTTATTTATTGCGAGTTGTGTGTTGTAAGCAAAATGTCACCACAGCCACATCATATCGTCACTTTTCTAAAATGATAACAGCTTGTCTTTTTTTGCCACAAGTGATTTTTCCCCCCGTTTTTTTGCAAACAATATCGCCACCTCTTTCTTTCCAAAAGATGTTTTAGGGGGGAAAAAAAATACTTTTTTTTTTTTAGGAAGGTGACAATATTAAAGAACATTAACGTAGACTAGAAACTAAATAACATTCAGACATTTTCTGCATACCTTTTCTGGCTCAGCGGCTGCATGGTGGCACCATGCAGTAGAAATAAAATGTTTTCGGTTTGGATTTTCCAGAAGATTTTCTTTTCTTCTAAGATTTTTTGATATCTTAGAAGCAAAGTCTTTTCTTTTTTTATTTTATTATTATTATTTTTTTTTACATTTTAATTCACAATTGCCACAGTCGTTTGACGTCCCCTGTCTTTTCATAATTGGTGACTCATCCTGACTCATCAAACAGTAAATCCCCACTTTTTTTAACCTATGAATCACACAAGCATAACATGTCCTGGAGGAGCTTTAAAACGCTCAGCCCCGCAATAAGGTACAACCGCGGTGGATTAAGTTGTCATCGGATCGTTCGCGGCGTTTCCAGCAGTGTCAGAAACAAACTCCCACGTCTCGCTTAGCTCACGCAAAGAGCGACAATCCAGTCTCCCCCCCCCCAAAAAAAAGAAAGAAAGAAACAAAACATAAGTTTTTTGGTTTAGTGCTGAAAAAAAAAAAAAAAGGAAGTGGAAAGTCCGAACGTTGAAGTGCGTAGTCTAACCGAGGGAATCCTGAGAGGATGGAGGGATGGAGGAGAGGACG